TACTTTTTGTGTTGTTAATGGGAATCCCAAATCTATGCTGCAATTATTTCTGTCCTGCATAACGTTAGGCGAGCTTTTAATATAACCATTTACTTTATCGATTCTGATTCGTTTGTATATAAACCCATTATGTTTGTAATATAAGACTCGTATCGCGGATGCCGTGATTGGCGTTGTGGATTTAACAGGCAAGAACAACCGGAATTTTAGGCTGCCCGTACTGGTGTATGCGTTACTAGATGGTCGTACAAGTCAGCGTATCTAAAGTGACAAATGTATTTTGTAATAATCATATAGCTAAGGATATAATACAAAGTATGTTCTAGAGGTCCACACACACTCGTTTCTAACTACTGAACATTCAAATATACCCTTACTACTTGAAGCAAACGGTTCAGTGAACTAAGCAAAATGGTTAGTGTAAGGTGTGAACTTAATTACCACCCTCCTCTTCAATTTCGTGGAGCCAGGCTTGCCGTTTGCAGCAACTATGAGGCCTATCAGTAAAAAACGTTTTTTCTCAGCAAGTGATGACTTCTTGTGCGAAAACATAACTGACAAGAGACTCAGTGATATGCCCGAATTCAGTACACTGTGAAAGTAAACTTTTTCGGCAAATCGCTGTGCAAATTCACAGTCTAATTTTTCTCATATATGATTCAAAAAGAAAAACAGATCAAATTTCAAATACCTTACTCAATGATATCGTCAACAAAGTGCTTTAAAATTTAAACATTGTAGATTAGGTTTATTAAAATATAGAAACTTTTGCATACCAATAAAATTATATTAATGCGCACACCGTCGGAAAATACAGTGTGCAACTTAGGGTAGTACATTACGTAAGTGAAAAATCATAAACAAAGAAAAAAAAACATAAAATATACCGAAAAGCATTCTGCACTTTTATACTCCACACACAGACACAATTTGAGAACAAACAAATGATTTGATTAGTAGAGATAAATACAGAAATATGCATATATATATACATAATAAAATCCTACACTCTCCTGGTTATCATTTGTTCCATATGCATCTTTTATAATGCAGTCGTGAAACAACAAGTAATGATCATCAAGAACTAATATGTAATAAGTGCAGATAAATTAATCAGTTCAGTGATGCATAAAGTTGTCATGTATCAGTATCAATAGAGAATATGATCATGATTAATTGATAATTAGATAAGATAGTCTGTCTTATTGTTTTAATTTCTTCAAAGTGGCGCATTCAACGTACAAAATTAGGAACAAAACGATGCATCTCACAGTCGCAAAATTACAGAAGAGGATGTCAGATGAAAACAAAGGTTGAATGTGAAACAGATAACAAAGACAGACCAGGCTTACAGGTATTTGTTAGACTGACATAGGGTAATATAAATTGACCATGCCATCCACTAATTAATAGTTTCTTTCGAAAATTCACTCTACACTGGTTGGAACAAATAAACTGTGTGATGTAAAACGCCATTAACAACGAATCGGGTGCGTACAAAATACTGGTTTGTAGTTGTCTTGAATCGAATTACATTGCATTTTTATGTTTCATAATATGACAATAATCAAAAGAGAAAAGGAGAACAACTCGAATATAACCAAGAGAGATCATGTATGAATAGTTAGCATAGGGGAGATGAAGGCAGTGGCAACGGTTCTCTTAGACGCAATTTTGAGAGAAAAAATCAGGCAACACCAAGTAAGAAAACAAAGAGAGGCACGAAATTGACTAAAAAGGGAAGCACAATGACTACGTCTGTGTGTACGATTCCGATCACAAGAACAATACTCATAGATCTGAATGAGAAAAAACGACTCAAATACAAATATTAACATATATTACATAAGTCAGCTTTCCTACACTGGTAAACTAATGAGAAGAATATGCACGGTCATTCATGTGTGAACACAAAAATTAAAACAAGCGAAAAAAATCAGGACTGAGATTCAAAACAAAGGAAAACGGAGTGAACAGTCGAAATTATAAGAGATTCTATTGTCTGTTTGTGTGTATGTGTGTAATTGTGAATAGTAAATATCAACCGGATAATTAGAAAAGATGGTTGTGTCACCACAAACACGACGACCTACAAGCACACATACTTGCATAGGATCGTGTTGGTGATTGTGGCGATAAGTCAGTCGATCGATAACAAGTAAGTGTGAAAATAAATTAATTATACAGGATAATAAGCTCACAAACACACAGTCTCGCCCACTTGCATGTTTACTCTATGGAAGCATTCACAACAACAACTGGAGCAATATTATCCCAATATTAAACTAATTCACATGAACTATGTTTCTTTTTCTTTCCTTCAGGCATGAGTACTGCTCGAATAGCTTCGTCAAAGACATCTTTTAATCCGAACTGAGTCAAAGCAGAGCATTCCAGATACTTCACAGCTTTAATTTCTCTTGCCATTCTGCAACCCTGAATAATAACAATGGTCAATAAAAAAATAATCAAATGATAGTTTAAAGCCTAAAACGACATCATACTGTCACTACTCATGGTAAAATTCTGCTAATTGAAAAATAAACACATTTACTGAATACTGGGAATATGTGCTGAAAATCCCGTATAATAAACAATAAAGCGCTTATAGTGGTTACTGTTATCTTGTGAAAAAAGACCAACTACTTTATACCCAGTCCACCCAAGACCGTAACTGCCATTTATATACGATACTAGGGATTATATGTCGTGATGACTCAGTCGAGTTACATCACTCAGAACACTGGTTCTTTTAGGTTTCATCATGACAATCAGGTCAGTATAAAAGTGTGACGAAATAAGTTGTTTCAGTTTCAGTTTGGGAAGGACAGGAGGCCTGATAGCCTGTGTTAGTCCTGGCAATGGCGGTCCCTCAGTTGATCCAACTTTCTTTTGAAAGAATCGACGGATGGAGCCTCAACCACGTGCTGAGGTAATGAGTTCCACTAGCTGATGATTCGATGGAGAAGTCGATAGTCAGCTGACAAGTAATTTGTTCTTGGCTTGTGAACTTTTTTGGAGTGTCCTCGTAAATTCTCTGTTTTGGAAGACAAGAAAAATGAGGGCATATCAGGTGCCAATTTGGCACGAAGCAATTTGCCTCAGAAAACCAGCATTTGGAGTGATGCTCCAGCCCACAACAAACGGAGGTCAGGAATGATTGACCCTAAGAGTAATACATCCTACGGGTGATACATCACGGATTCCAATGGCGAACAGTAACATCCTAGAAGTGAAAGGGTAACACTTCCAAAACTACTTGAAGAAACTGTGACCAGACACTCATACAGATCGTTTCTGTACGCTGTGGTCATGCTCCCACATTGTCAAAACTATCATTAGTCCAGTTTAATTTACAGGTCTCTCAAGGAGTATCGTTCAACGATGTGGGCAACTGAGAAACAACAAGTGTTCTCGCAAATCTAACACCACTTGAAGTCGACTCGTTTACAACAAAATCCCTCCATTTAGTTAACCTGTCGGATAGTTATCGGCTGTTTTGTATCACTCAAGACCAGTGCTTCCGACATATTTCTAGTTCATGTACGCTTTCACCAAAACAAACACAAATGCTGAAGGAAAACTATTTAAATGCATGCCAATCACTGAAATAATCAACTACAGAACTACAAACGTTTCACAATACGATATACGGACAATCAATCTAATAGCACTTAATGGACAGAAAATCACAATATTATGTAGTAAGTTACACAGTGCAGAGCATCTCGGTCAAACCAAAAGACAAATTTCCCTTGAGTTAACAATCTGACTGCATATGTTGTGACTATATGCAAATAGCAAACTACGAACGAATTAACACCAGAAAAAGCCACCAAAGAACTTCACAGAACTCAAGGAACGTTCAATCACATTGTAATCTCAGGACACTGAATCAATATTCAATGATGACCAAATTATTCACGAATACTTCGAAAAGTATAAACAATAGCTTTCGGTGGAACCATTTGACAGAAATGGAAAAAAAGTCGAGCGACGAAATAAATCGGCTCAAAATAGATTCGACTTGACAACTTTTAACTACTTAATACGGTATACACACGTGTAACAAGGATTGCACAGCTATACATAGCGAGAATTAAAGGAATGTGAAATTGTCAATCAACACAATATGTAAAACGGAAAACCACTATGCAGAGTTTTGATTTGATAACGACACGAATATGGGACACAGATCGCCCCTCTTGTGGTTTGATTTACTATTACCAAAAAATATGAATGATATGGTCATAAATGTAATGGAGCAGTTTAAACTGATAGTTGTGAAAACATGATCCAACATTTTATAAAGTACATTAGTTAAGGTTAAAGGGGCACACTCGTCGAATTCTCATTGGACTTATGGTAAAGTCCCCCACCATAATACAAGGAATGCTTTGAAGTCATAGTCAGTCAGCTATTTGTAACGTGAAACCAGACGCATGCATCGGCTCAAGTTTCCGAGCTAGCACAGAGCAATGAAACTAGCAAGTTAAATCCCAAGTTACACCAACTATGAGCAAATAGAACTAATACAGGGGAATAAGATCATTGTATGGCAGCTTAAAAGAAACTCGTAAGTTTCTGTTTAGTAATTTGCAGAAAACTGGTTGTGAAAAGCTTTGACAGCCATACTAAGGAAGTAGACTAACTGTCAAACTACCATTTCAATACGCGTTAACAACCAAGAATGCTAACTTGCCTCGTACCGCGAAAAAACAAAGTAGTTCTCTGACAGTGGTTATTTACGCGTGATCAGATGAGAGCATTTTAGAAGAGCGGACTCGTCGCCCTGGCTTCAATACATGTGTAAGCGATCACGAATGTTAACATTATTTCATGTGTCTAACAAACTAAAAAAGCATGACATTCTAATCCTGTTCAAACGTACACTTGGAGTATTACTCCATTATATACTTGCATTAAAATAATCACTGTAACCCTTCATATCAAGTATAGTTAATAAATATATGTGAACTATTTGTGTAGTAGCAACTAACCTCCGAATAGGTTACGGGTAACGTAGTAGATTTTAGGCCGTTGGGACTATCTCGAAGATCCCGTTTTGTTCCGACAAGAATAATGGGAGCATTTGGAACGTGGGCGGATATCTCCGGATACCATTTACTACGGACATTCTCGAATGACGTGCGACTGACCAAGGAGAAGCACAACAAAAACACATCAGTTTGTGGATATGAGAGTGGTCTTAGTCTGTCGTAATCCTCCTGACCTAAAGATAATATACGTGTTAATACAATCACGGACTTGGGAGCATTTAAATATATTTATACTTACCGGCTGTATCCCACAAACCAAGGTTCACAGGTTTCCGGTCAACCATTACGTTAGCAGAGTAGTTATCGAAAACGGTTGGGACGTACTCACCGGGGAAAGCATTTGTCGTGTAGCTGATGAGTAAACAGGTTTTTCCGACAGCACCATCACCGACAACTACACATTTAATGGCTTGCATGAGTAGCAAGAAGTAAAAATGTTACGGTTCGCGTCTAGCCAAAAGGTACTTTGTGTATTAGGGGAACATACAACGTAGTGTGATTGAGGAGGGCTGGAGGAGAGGAAAAAAGACTGAAACTAACATATGACCCAGCAATCTACAACAAGCAGAAACAACACGAGAGTGAGACAAGGACAATCTGACAACCGAAAACCAGACAGTTTAGTCAACTATATTTGCGCGTATACGCGCAAACCCAAACTGGAATTGGCGTCAGAATAAACCTCCTAGCTGGTTGTGTGTTAACTCACGGCTTAATTAGCTGAAACTACCCAAATAAATGTATTGACCCGACTAATCAATTAGTAATCATCAATCAAAAGCTTTTCCTGCCTTACCGTGTAACGCTGAAAACAGCTTAAGACTCGCGGTCAATGTGATTGTGTCTGTTGAAACAAAATAAGCTACTTTGCTTGATCGTAGACCAAATGTCATCCCCAAACAGGCGTTATCACTTTTAACTTTGGCAATCTTGAATAATCTCTTTCAAAATGGGTTCAAGACGAAGCTGTCATGCTCCACATCGCTTTTAGATGATTTTAAATTGTTCTGAATGGAATGGAAACGGAACACTAAATCCCCATACTTTAAATGGGGTCGAATAAATTTGTTGAAGACTACGTGGAGAGTTCTACTATCGAGCTGGTCAAAAATGCACTTCATCATTGCTAGTGCAAGGTTTGTTCGAAGGGTGTTTTTGTCTCGGTTGGCGTAATAGGAGGGAGTTACTAGTCTGAAACATGTCCAAGATGAACTACTTTACACTTTAAGAGTTAAAAGTAAGTTCGTAGTTGTCCGCTCAACTCTGACGTCCGTTCAGATCCTCCTGACGTTCCAGCTTATCATCTTAGTTACAAACGTCTTTCCAGAGTTTCACATCGTCAGTAAAAACAATAAATCCAGCGATACCTGCTGAAGAAGGTCGTCTATACAAACTAAGAAAAAAGAGATCCTAGTACTGAACCCTGAGGGACTCCACTAGGACATTCTGTGGCCCGAAAAAAGTGAAGTTCACCCCAACCTTAAGAAGTCGATTATTTAAATGTGAAGTATGCCAGTCAATTAAGGGTGATTTGATACATAACCGTTTGAGCTTATTGCTTAGACATATTTATCAAAAGCTTCTGAGAAGTCATGGTGTATGACTTCAACCTTTCCTCTGCGATCAAGGATGGTTGTCTATCTTTCCATCACCGTTAGCAGGTTGGTTATACAAAAATGCCCCTTCCTGAAGCCATGATGTTGAGGTGAAAAGAAGTTTATGGATAGTAAATAGTCACGCGAACCATTGCATATCGGGGACTCCATAGATTTCGACGGTACGGAGAGAAGTGCTACTGGCCGGTCACGTGAAAATTCGCCGCATCATCCTCCTTTGAAAATTGGTGTGATGTGAGCCAGCTTTCAATTTTCTGGTACCATGCCTCGGCTTGCGAATATGAGAACATCACGCCAGACGGTTTACCAAGATTAAGCTGCTTCTTTGAGTATAATCAAATGGACCACATTCGGAATGGAAGAAGTGTCACTGTTTAGATACTGCAGTTTCTGATACATTCAGTCAGTGCTCAGCCTCAATCCTAAAAGTCCTGTTGAGTTGCAGGCGAAGCGCACAATCATGTAGCTGGTATGGGATGGCTAAAGTTTCTGAAAGTACTGTTATCCCGGTAAATCGGTGGCGTCACCGTCGCTGTCAATAGGGCCATTAGGACCTAACAACTGAGAAACCTCGGTTTCGGCTTGTCGAAGAGAAACTTCATAGTGGAATTAGCTTTTCGGATTGGAAACATATTTATCGGTTAGTTTTATCTGATACTGAAGCCACCCTTTCCTTATTGCCGTTTCGCAGTACCTCTATGCTCGTTTGAACGGCTTATGTGTCCTGCTTTTGCTAGTTCATTAATATTGCATCCGGTAGTGCCTTTTGAGTTTTAGCATCCAAAGGGTGAGATTCTGGATAATTGCTGGTTGGGAAACGTTTACGGGACAGACTGTTTTGTGGTACATAAGATCGTGTGTAGCGAGAAATCTCAATGAGCGTCCATATTAAGTTGAGGGTAGGCTTACTAGTTCACCTGTGGTAGATTAATCTGTAAAGCTGACACAGTCAACGGTTTGTGATTTCAACGCCTGTTGTTAGTATGATATTTTATCCCAGTTTTGCCAGTAGAATTTGAGGCAGTGAAAGAATGATTACTTTTACTCAGGAGAGCCAGGATTAAGAGGTTGTAAACTAAGAATTCTCCGTTTGTAAATATTCTCTCTAAGCGTGAAGGCGTCTGACTTTGCCCCTAGCGGGTTGTTAACTTCACATTTCTGAATAATTAAAATTATTCAATGAGACTGACAGATTCATACAGAGTGATTAACTCTTGAGCGTAGACTTGGTGAGCTATCAAGCAAAGTCATAGGTACAGGGCTACTCCGCCCCTCCCAATCTCTGTTGTTCTGCCTTTGTGAAGCAAAGGCATGCAGGGTTTGTAATTCGAGATGTCACTGTACCAGATATTCCTATCACATGACTATTATTAGTGTCATTTAGTTCACTCAATTTAACCCTTTTGTTCGATAAACTCATGGCCTTCGTATTTAGACAGTTTATGATCTTGATTTGAAAAGCATGAGCTTCCTCATCCTGTTAATTTGAATGAGACTCATGTGAATGGACAGGCAACTTACCTATACAGGGCTTTACAGGTTAGTGGCCCCTGCCCTTTTGCTCTTTTTCCTTGTCCTTGTCAGTCCGTAAGTAGAATAGTCAGTCCCAATTTTTGCTTTTGTGCTTGGTCCTTGCACCGTGTGGCCTGCCCAGATGGATTTGGATTCCAGCTGGTAACCGACGTCTTTTGACAAGAAACTCTTCGAGAGTGGCAGACACCATTAGTTATTTATTTACTTGAGCACATAGATGTTGGTACAAGGTGGCACCAGATACATGTGCGTCACACAAATCCCACTTGATTTGTACAAGATCTGTGATACTGACCGGGTGCCCAAACCGGAGCAGGTAGCAGACACCATTTGGGAGGATAGGAGGGGCGTCTTCATTGGCTGTGGTCTAGGATCCCCGTCCTTCTTGGTTAATCGCACCACTTGTTGAGCCAATATGTTCTTGGGCTTCAGAAACGTCCTCGTGAATTTCCGTTGTATAATACGTGTCCGTATTTCTGGAATACCTTGCATAATTATATTTTTCCGCGAAAGAACATCTCGTGTGATTCCTTAGGTATGTTCCTTGTGAGGTGCTCTTAGATTCCCTTCTGATTTCAGCAGGTGGTTGACCAGCAGAACAACCTCTACATCAGCAGGGTCGATGAACGTTCCAAAAAGGAGTTTTGGATGAATTTAATGCTCGGAATCCTTCCCACTGGTAAGCCGTGTAACTGTTAATTGTTCAATTTTGGGAATTTTGAGTTTCTTGCTCAACTCTTCCTGGAGCATGCTATCATTTTTGTCCTGCAGAGTGAGAGGGTCATAGCTGCACTTAAATTTCATGATTATGAGACATTCATCTCGAACTGTTATCGTTTTCCCAGGTTTTTGGCTACGTTAAGGTTTGAGTCCTTTTACTCTGGCAGTTGAATTGCTCTTTGGACTCCTATGCTCCTTGCTGACTGATTGAACAATCTCAGGGGTAGATTTCACAGTCAGCTGGCTAGCTGATTTTCACAAAAGACCTGAACTGTTCAGCATTTTTGACTGTGAAACTCGATCAGACACCCGAAATATGAGTTGTGGGATAGATCCTAGAAAAAGTTTATGATCGTAAACCAACAAACTATGCTCAGAACGGTTAGAAACGGATGACGCAAAAGATTGAGATATGCCGAAATTAGCCTCTCCGTGAAAAACTATAAAGACTGAATAGTAAGCTGGGACAAGCTTTTGATCAAATTACCCAGCGAGATGTTGGTCAATCAGTGATGATTTTATACTTCAGCTTTGGTAAGGTGTTCATTAGCGTCTCACACAAAGATCTTCTCCTAAAGCTTTCCTCGCTTGGTATACGGGATCCTCTACTATCCTGGTTCAAACATTTCACAACAGAATTTATCCAGATCATTCGCTCTGGATCTAACTACTCTTAACCCATAAATGTGACCAGTGGCGTCATACGAGGAATTTTAATTAGCCGATTGCTCCTGCTCCTCTTCATTAATGATGTTTGATTGGATTTTCTATTCGAACAGCATTTCTTTTTTGCTAGTGACTAAAAGTGGTTTGTTCATTTTCACCTTCCACCAAAGAAAGTCATATTCAACGGTACTCGAAGGAGACACAAAAGGGTGATATGAATGAACTGTGTCATATAATCTTCCGCTGAATTTTCATAAAAGCGGACTGATCTATTTTGTTCTCTGTATTAACATAAATCTGGTCCTAAACAAACGCATATTAAAACTTATCAACATTGTTTGTGACTTGGATGTAGTAACAATATAAACATTTTCGAGCACATTACGTCTCGAGTATCCAACACAACGAAGCTCCGAGGACTCATAATGATAAGTTTAAATGACACCAAATACAAATTATTATGATTATGTAAAAATCTATTTTACCTTTAAAGTTTTTGTAATCATAATGATTTGATAAAAACCGAAGGTCTTCGAAGAAGATTTAATTAAGCTCTGTCAGGATAAATCAACAGTAAGGATCACCATCAAAGATGTAAACAACTAAGGTAAGAACATCTCTGGACCAGACGCATTAAATCAAACCTTTCTATTATCTGACGCCTTACATGTGGTGTTTGTTACTCTTCGACTTCTGTTCCCTCATACGCTGTCATATCATCTCACAACCTGCACAAAATTAAGAACCTACACAACTTCTTTATTTTTCGCTATTCAACCATAAGGAAAATATTCCCAACAAGCCTATGCAGCAATCACACAGCAATCCAGCTCGAAAGCTCATAGTTGACTTTCTCTCCAAAAGTAGTTTGTGTCACCTAT